GAGATTTGGACAAGACTTATTTTGACTGGACTGTGTTCTTCTTTGTTATTTGTACATTTTAAGTTGGCCATGCAGGTGCTGTGTATGGCTATGGTTACATTTGAAATGAGGTAATATCTGGAATACTTCAAACTGATGATTTCCGATGGCGCTCTGTTGACATGCAGCAATAACGGTCAGGTTATTTCCCCCAGCCAGAGGGTATCAATGTTCTTGGTGTGGGTATAGGCAAGCACAGACTAGTCTGTAGCATTTACTGTGTCTTCTGTGTAATTGAGCAGGCATGTATACAGGGCATTTAGGACTACTGACTAACCAGACACGAAGGGCAATCAACATCTTCATAACTAGTTCAATCAGACAGATGTGTGGCGACAGCATTCTCAGCCAGGATTATTTACTTGGTTGGGCTTTGGTTCTTTCATTAAAACCCAATCAAAATGATTTCTTTCACTGATACTGGCGAATGGTGCTGTCTGCTCTCAGGTGTAAGCAGGCAGACAGATGGAAAACAGCACTTTCGAAATTATGCAAAACTGTGCATCAGGTAATTAGTTTGAAATGTCAACAGAGTGCAGTACGGGCTGAATGCCGAGGGTGGGTTTTGTTGGGATGAGATAAGGCACATCAAGAGTTTTTCAAATTAAGTTTGGTACATTTATCCAGGGCAAATTCAATATAGATGTAGCATCTGGGTTGAAACAGTCGCCATAAAAATCCTTAGAGAATCATGATGGCCAATGAATGTCAATTAAACAAGGATGAAATTCAAGATTCTAATTCAATTCGGAGTAAAGCCACTGATCCACACTGGAATGATACATGAGGGGAAATAAACCTTTAAATTAGATTAGAAATGTTCTTTTGCTATGGAAAAAACTTGTAAGTTCATTAAAACCATTTAAATCCCTATTTTTGCATTTAGATTGAAAGTGGATTTATCCAGTGTACTAAAAGTAACATCCTGTTTGCCTGAATACACTTTTTTCATTTAATAGGCAAAAGGGAGGCATCATTACATATGAAGGGATGTACTTCTAACTTAAAGGATTTGGGGCAGTCAAAGATATCTTGGAGCCACAGAGTAATAGGTCGATGAAAGTGTTTATTCCAATGGATGGGAACCAAGTTTAATGGTTGAGATGTATTTCCCACTAATAAAAATGTTAGGTCAGAATTTTCTACATTTAATCATTTTGGTTTGCATATAACATGTAAAACATACAATTTTCACCTTTGTTGTGTTAGGCTACAGGTTAAGCGCGAAGATGACTTAGTCTATTTTGTAAGGTGTGCTACACATCCAACATCTAGAATACATGAAAACAGCAAATCTACACAAAGAATGAGAGGGGAAAAAAGAAGTGTTGCCAAGGTGAAGCTTACCGCACATTAGCTGGTCCCCGTCAAAGTCCCATTCCCATTCAACTAAAAAACAAAAACCGGCGTGCGTTTGGGCAGGACAGTGAAAGAGGGAAAGAGCAAGAAGTGAGCGGAAATGACCAGTGAAAAGACTACAAGGAGACTGGTTAAATAGGAGAATGAAAATTGACCAATAGGCAGCTAGAGTGTGCAAATGATGGCTAAATATATACCCAGCTAACATAAAACACTACCAGTGGCATATGACTACCAACTATCAAGAACTAAACATATGGGTACTAAACATTGTGTTCTCTGTTGACTTACTGAATTCAGTGCACTGATCATAGATGTGTAAAGATTCAAATGGACCCTGGCATGAATGCTACAGGGCGCTAAATGTACGTAGGGCACCGGTACCAAAGGACCTTCATGTATATTACTTCAAGCATCATGTCCACCCAATGAACAGTTTTCTGTTGTCCCTGGTACTGTGTTCAACATTTGCATTTTGCTTGTAAATGTATACAATGAAGACAGGATACTCTTACCAGTAATGCACGCAAATGTATCACTCAAAGGTAAAAGTGTATCATGACCAATGCATTTCTAAAACTTCAACCTTATTCCTCCTAGAAAAAATCCCTACAAAAAATGGGTTTAAGTAAGGATTCTCTTTCACTCAGGCAACTTCTGTTTGGAAAGACTGCAAAATGACTGCTCAAGTCGATGAAATAGAAAAACTAAAATTGCATAAATGAGGGGCATAAGTAAATGAAAGTTAACAGCATGATGCAAATCCAGAGATATACAGCCCCATCCGCTAGGAAAAAAAACCAGGTATGTGAAGAAATCTGTATTGAGTTTTGGATAGCATGATTTCTAGAAGTTTTATGAGTTGTGTGGAAATTTCAGAAAATTCCAGATATTTTAGAACATTTAGAAAAAAAATGTGATCTTAAACCAAGTCCTTGATACCTTTTGTACCGTGCCAAACTGCATCTTTAGACACATGAGTCAATCCATGGAAGCAACTACCACTGCCCTCTAGTGTCCAAAAAGCACCACCTGTTATTTCCCTGTGTTCCAGCTTGACAACTATACAATGACTACAAGTTCAAATGAATTTTCAATATGGAAAAGCCTGCATGCACCTGTCTTCAGTTGATCAGGATCACTATCAATGATGCATGTATGTTAAATTAGCATAATGTCTGGTGTTCCGAGTTGTTGTAGCCCTAACCCTCAAGGTTTAGTGTAAATCACATACAATCTTGTTGGATTTGGCACAGTTACAATGCTTACATAGCCAATTTGGAATCCCCCCCCCAACTAAATGCACTTTTGCTGTAGCCCGCGGTTTGAGGAAAGTCTTCTACCCCCATCGTCCACCATTAAAAACAATGTTCAGTGTTGCTGGGCACCTGTCTCTAGATAAAGCATGTCCAATATTTTAATAGGCATACCTGATGATATTTAAATTCAACCCACAAAGGTCACTTTCAAATAGGTCAATTTTTTTTTACTGCATCTCATGCCAAAATTGATGCCTAGAGAAAAGTACTTTCATATGCACAAATTATTCAGACTGAATTTTTCTGAAATACATGGGGGGATTCTCCCCCATGAGCTCAATTATTCCCCTCCCATTGTTTGGCAGAAAATAACATGTTGGGGTCTTTTTCCTTCCCATCCTCCTAAAAGCATGTAAAAAGCAGAAACTTTAGTCTTTACCCTATGAAAGGCCATAAAACATGACATAAAAAAATTACAATCTTTGCCCCCCTCAGAAAATTGGTTCTGAATCTGCCCTTGAATAAACTCCTGATGATAATGTAACAAATTTTAATTAACAAATAAAACAACTACAATTTTATTTGTACATAAAATTTGAGTATGATCATTTTTTTTCAAAAGAAATCAGGACAAAGGCTGAGCAAATTCCAGTTATTTGGGGGAAAAGGTAAATAAAACCTGGTTACTATATATATAAGTATAGACCTTGCCCAAACATGCCCTGACGTATTGTGCATTTCACAGTGTAATTTTTTAATAGTGTGTGATGTCATGTTAATGTGCTGAACATGAATGGTTGTATGTGATGGGGGATGAAAAGATAAAACTATGGATGGGATGAAGGTGTGATATGGAGTGGGTGGAGTTCACCTCACCTTCGGGGGAGTCATCTACGAGGATGGCTTTGCCTCCCTCCGCATCCAGAATGTCTTCAAAGGATGGTAAAGCTGATTGCCGTATCAAGATGACACCTTCATCTGTGCAATGGTTTGAGGCAGGCGTTCAGATGGCGTATGATATGCATCATTCATGAGAGGATGTTGCCAACAGTTATTTCATATGCATTATTCATGAGCAATGCAGCCATTTGCATAATGTTTGGAGTCACAGTACCAATACCTATTCTTTTAATTCAAACCCTCATTATCTTAAAGCCAGGTCTACTTCAAGGGTTTTTTCATCACAAAATACATCAAAGAATGAGATAGATTTAAAAATTACTATTAATAAATAGATCAATCATTAGTTGACAAGATGCAAAAAAAAAGTGTTACTTGTGTGAAATGAAAGTTAAAAGTAGATTATTGAAATCAATTTCACAGGGCAGGAGAAACCATTTGTTTTGAACACGATAAGTTATTAAATTGTGGACAATACATGCACTTCTTGTTGTTTACCTCCATTGTCTGGTGAGCTGGAATCTTGGTCAGCTTGAATCCCGTCAGATCCTTCAAGACTTCGGACCCTTTGGGATTCACTGGACAGTTTCAGTTCAAGCTCATCAATCTAATTTGTCATGTTGGCAAAATAAATCAGCACCGATTGGTACATTAAGAAAGGCTCAACAGGGTAGGGTGGTTTTTTACTCAGTTTGGTTTCGTTTTGCTTTGCTGTGGTTATTTTTATTTTATTTTTTTACTTTACGCTTTGTATGGTTTACCCTTGGCAACTTCTCTGCAGGACAATTTCCACAATCTACGTTTATCCACAGCTGCGCAGTAAATGAAGATCACTTAGTGTATGCAACCAGTGTTAGGATGTGAAGACCTTGGCAAAACAAAGATAGCTGGTCTACAGAGACTTGAAACCAACTAGGCCTTGGAATTTGATTCGTTTAGGACTGGGGAATGGGATCGAGATGTGAAGTAATTTTTTTACCATTTGTGAAAATTGCAAATAGAACAAGCTCTCAGCAGGCACTTTGACCCACTGATGTTGTTATGTACGCCAACCACACATGATGTGTGTGATTTCTTCACTCATCATGAGTACCAACAAACAGTGAAGCATTCCTGGTAAAAATGTAGGTTTACCATTGATTTTTTTCACTCTAGTATCAACAAGATAAAAAATAATTGTACATACATGTGTACTTGTTTAAATAAGGAATTGTAGAAAAATATGCAACTGAAAACTTAAGATAACATTCAAAATGGAGAAAAGTGTAATGTTTGCATATATTATGTTAATGAGTTCAGGTATCAATATGCACAGTGCCAAGCCTAGCATAAAACACTTGAGATACTAGCAATTGTGTGTCACACTAGTCAGCTCTTCATCTGTCCACAATGTTACAACCGCTACCTTTTCTTGTAATGTCCTCTTTTCTCTCATGTGACTCTCTTGCAGCCGTTCCTTCTCTTCTTGAAACGCCTTCTCTTTGTTCTGAAACTCCTCTTCCCTGTTGGGGGGAGGACCGAGAATAAGAAAAGCAATTACAAATGATGCAAGATACAATCTTACTCATGACCAATCAACTACTGCTTACATTTCTTTGTGATTTAGCAACAAACTTGACACAACTGGGTTGAGGGCTGCACTTAGCCTTTATTACCCAGATAGGGTCAAGCTGGAGGTAACCAGTGGAAATGTTTCTTCTAAGATCACTTCATACTGCACTTTAGAAAAACATTCCCTCTATAAACTCAACTCAAAAGTGTAAGTTGGAAGGTAAGTACTTGACTTTAATGTAGGATTTATGTCAGTTAAGACCAAGACATTTTCCATGTTACAGGTACATGTGCCTTTTACTCTGATTTCACTTGTTGTGTGCACTAGGTTAGGTTTCTGTGGAAAGACACTGAGTCAGTGCTGACTTGCTGAATATTGTGGTTTCCTTGTTCAGATTTGTGCCCTGCTCTCCTCAGTGAAGCGCAAATTCTCTGAACCTATTTTAAAGGCACCGAGCCTCTCCCTCCCACCTCACTAAGTGGAGGATATTAACTTGTCTCTGCAACATGGGCAAGTGTGCTGGAAATCCCCATCTACTGAAGCAAGCAAGCACCTCATTTAAGGATGACAATCTTATCATTGCAGCAGAAAATAAAAAAGGCCATGAGGAACAAGTGGAAGCGAAACTCTGGGATCAGAAAGACAGCCAAACCCAAGCTGACCCTGGTTAAGTGGTTTTCCTGACAGGCCACCAACGTTCAGCTATCATGTTAGGAGCAATAAATATTGGAAGCGGGCCCTTTTTTAAGCACGGCAGTTCTTAATTTATTAACGTTGAAAATCTCAGCCATTTAGTATTTTAGGCCTGGTGTATTTATACATGCAGGATATTGAAAAGGCAGAGAACGTGTCCCACACAAATATTGATTACAGTTTTATGTAAACAACTTTGACATGTTTTTACAATGTCCATACAAGCAAAGTGTAAGAATCACAATTAATTTTGACTTCAATTTTCTCCTTTTTCAAAATTTAAAATGCATGTACACATTTATGTAACATGGTGGAAATTCTAGGGGGAAGCCAGGGGGAACTCTTTTTTTCATGGAAGCACTGAAAGCCAATGACCTGTGGCTTGTACATGTACACATTTCAAAAGTGGAAAGGGCATCCAGGGGTGGGGAAATGGACCTCCAGGAAGGGAAGGGGAACTCATGATGACACCACTGCAATAACATGTATTTATTTAATTCATTATAAAAAAACCAAAAACAATTACTGGTATAGACTTCAGTTGGTTCCATTTTAAAACATGCCTTGCACATACAGAATAAAAGAAGGCCTCGATTAATACCAATGGAAGGCGTTATTTTCTTAGCAACGGAGGCTCCTTTTGTCAGAACTGAACTTTGCTGGTTCACGAATGGCTAGGAAATGCACGCATCACGGTTGCATCACTTCCAAACAAAATGAACACTCCCGACCAACATGGCTCTTTTCAACCAATGAGGGAGTGCTTCTGCTTGAGGGGCAAATGAAACTAACCCAGTACAAAAGATAATGTCATTTAAGTGCACTGTCTGCTCTCAATAGGTCTAAAGTGAATACAAAACCAACTGCTACAGTGATACTTTCACGTCATGGTAGAACCAGTTCAAGTAGAATCTTTCTCCCTCTAATATTTGTGCACGCCAGAGACAAAACCCAGTTTTCTCAACTTAAAATAACACATCACAAAAAGTCTGTTGGAGTGATACGTACATGTAATTGAGCAGGGCAGTAACAGATGTTAACAATGCCAAACAACACTTTGAAAATTTGTTCTCTCCAACATGAAATTCAAGCAGTACATGGTAAACTGGGCAGGTATCCGGTATGAGTGACGGATTAAAAAAACAGACACCGGAAAGCCTGGAATCTCTTCAGTTCCCGTTGCCCGCTCAAGTAACCAATTCGGTATCCGAGTCAAGAAAATGAGATCTGGAGGCCAGCCAAGAGATTGGAGAGGAAACAAGATCAAGCTGTAGTCAACTTTGCAGACTTTTGCCGAAGGCGTGACACTGTGATTGGTTGAATAGGCTGCCAACCATTTTGCAGTCTCCTCACAATCCACAGCAGCATCTGTGTTATACTGGGTATGACTTCAGTTTTTCCCTTACACTGCTACAACCTCTGGGAGAGTCCCAGTCCATATCTAGATTTCTTTTTTCCTTTGAAATCATAAGATCTATATCTTCTGTAGGTGAAGTTTTCCAACTAGTCCTCTAAAATCCAAGTTGTGAGAAATTGATACCTTCAATAATCCATTTGGGTGACCAACCTTTCGAACAAATAGCCTAAGATCAAACCTAAGTCTTGCTTTAATTGAGTCTACTGCAAGATATTCTCTAGGCATTGTACAATCAACAAAGTCACAAAGAATGACTCATAAGAAGTACCTGATGGCTGGAATGAAGGACTAGATTAATTCACATTAGACTATAACAATTCCATACTTTTCACTCTGAATATAACCATTAACAAATGCAAAGAATATAAAATTCTCTCATTCAGCTGAAAATTGATCCATGAAAAGAATTTTGACCTTATCAAGTACCTCCCTTGTAAAAAGTAGTCGGACTCTACGACAATACATGTATCCAAATTGGCTTTCCCACCATAAAAAACCTTCTGCTTATAATTTAATCTTCAGTCACAGATACTTCAGACTGAAAGCCATCAATTTGTTGAATGAAGACATTGCAAATGGCTGTAACACACCGCCAAAACACTGTTAATATTGCTTTCTGATTCTCTCATGAGCAAAAAGCATCTTTTGTTTCTAAATTGAAAGGGACTGCTGTAATTCCACATCCTTTTTCGACAAATGCATTTGGATTTTGTGTCCACCAAGAGAGTACTTTATGTACTGGCTTCCAGGACTATGTGTAGCAATTGAAAAAATCAATAGAAAGATACTGGACCCAAGAGTAAAATTTGGGATTACGATTTGATTAGGTGAAGAGCCCAGCAGAACAAGACCGAATTTAATATTGGCATGACCTTTCATCTATCCTATTGTCCTCATTCGAATAGATTTCTGAAGCCTGTTTTCTGTATTGCTGCAGTGAACAATCACTGTGGCGCACTCTAGAAGTCATTATGAAAAAAAAAAGGTTCACCCTGATAATTACAAATGGGTCAAATGAAAATCCTAGCGTGTATTGAAGTGCACTGACCAAGAGCGATTGGAAACCAAGAAGACATTGCACTGTACAAGACAAGACCGTCATATCTGTAATTTCCGTTCAGGATGCATTTCAAGCTGTTGACTACGGTATCCTCATCATTGCTAGAGGCTATTGAAATCCTAAAACAAGGACAAATTGTCAAAGAAAGCCCGTCAAACTCCCACACAAAGGGGAAATTAAGTTCCACACCAGCTCCGGGGGGGGGGGAGACGGAACACATAGTCATGAGTAAAATGTTTTAAGGACTGGCTTTGAATAAATGCTAAGACTTTGGGGACCTCTTCAGAAAAAAAGTTGAAATTCCGAGGAACTAGACTGTAATCCCTCTGCCATAAATCTTACCTGCTGTAGTAATTTCACATAGTTCTGCACCCACAAACTTACTTGTTCTGCATGTCTTTGATGAGTTTCTTGGCCTTGTGATACTTCTTGTCCAGCACCGAGTACTGATTCTGGTTTTCCTCCAGCAGCCTGCGGACCTCGTTCAGCTCGGCTTCTGTCTTCTCCAGCTTCTGATCCAGGAGGGTCAGTCGCTTATCCTGGAGCTCAATCTGATGCTTGAGTCTGGTCTCTTCGGCTTCCCAACCCTGAGCCTGCATGACCTGACAGGAAACAGAAGGAAGAAGGCGGCACTGATCAGATAAATGGCTACAAAAGCCTGGTTGAAGAACAGTTTTATTCTGTCCCGACAGAGGGGAGTAAAGGAGTTGATCTCAAACAATATGTGTCAAAGAATATGATCAAGAAAGGCAATCATAAAATCGAAATCATCAATTTTGTGACTTTTTCACCGTCACAGTTCCCTTCTCTGCCATGGTCATCATTTTCCGAGTTATCTTCTCTGCAAGTGTCCTAAGTATTACAGTAGTCTTATCACAGCTGTTTCCTTTGTTATGAGTATTACTAAAATGGTTTAGAAGAGTAAGGAGCTCATTCCATTATTAATCTCTAAGAATTATCAACTTTGCCCCAAACAGGTTGCTGTATGTTTCTACGGGTAGAAATCACAGTAAAAATACAGTCAAGTGTCTTTGCCTGAGGACATGAGCGTAATATTCCCTAACTGGATCGCAAAAACATAACATGGCAAGAAACTGCTGGTAAAAATGTTGGAAAATATAAATAGACCAAAGCATTCCACCAGCAAACCCAAGCAATGACATGGCAAACATTTACTTGTTTGCCAAAAGTCATTCTACAATCATCAGTACTTCTAAATTTTATTTTGAGAGGCCTGATTTTCAGGAGTTCTGGCTTCAATAAGATCTCTCATTGACAAACACAAATCTCATTTTACCACATGCCTAGGAATGTGTCTGCTTTTATTATTTTTAAGAAACAAATTAGTGTATTTTGCATAGAAACTTCAAAAAGTATTGGAGGTTGGGTATAGTAAATCGATGCCAACTTGGCAAATTGTTGGAAACCCTGTGTCAAACAGCTTGACAAATTCTTCGCACAAGTCAAGCTTGACGGCCGCATTTTAAGAAGAATTAAAAAGTACTTTAAAATGGCTCATTTTCTCTCTCCGTATTCGAGGAAAGACTTCAACAACGATTCACATTCTCGTAAAGTTCAGAACCATTAACCTCCCCCTCCTGCCACTCCAGCGTATCGTCTCCTGGTTATTAAAACCAGGACATCAAAGCATCTCTCAGACGTTAGGCCGCCAAACACTGGGGGGAAGATGGAATGGATCTCTTCTCATTTGGGAGAGCAATTTGGGGAAGAAAAACGGGGACCTCCAGGAATTGCCTTAAACGCCCCGAGTCGTGTGACATTTAGAGTGGGAAAAGGGAACAATCGCCGCCCTGCAAAACTGACATCAAATGAAGTAGCCAAAAAAAAATGTGCGGTTGGCTTTCTGATCTGGCAGCATGAATGCAAGGGAAGGGAGATCATTAGAATAATGACATTTGCGGCTTGGCATGGAACAGGAAAGAAATCACACTGATTACCACGTTCAGGTGCCACAGAGTCGCGGTGCCATTCAAATTTGAAATAAACACCCCCGAAATATGAAGTTCTGGATGGAATCATTCAGTGGCAATTTGCAGCTTGATTTGCCCCGATTGCATTTCATTTTGTATTGAATATCAGCAAACAAGGAGGGTTGACTTTCCCAGAATATTCATATTACGAGGGGCTGGCTATGGCAAAGATAAAAAGGGAGCAGGCATTGGGTTACCGGCCGTGGGTGTGCTGATATGTGCTGATCAATGCAGAGCGGACGGATAGCTTGGCAACTTGCTTAGAATTTTAAGAAAGCCTCTTTTCAGTTTGTTGTCAGTAAGGCCTGAACCAAAACATAAGTAGTGGGGATGCCAGGACGAAGGCTTGGAATTCAGCCACAACCACTGATATAACCAAGATGTTTGATCCTGGGAATATTATAGTGAAGGCAGATTGAGCAAGGAAAAAATGGCACTGCATCTTTGAATTATTATATGCTAATGATGAGGTTCGAAATACCAACATGGCGCCCAGACTCGTGGAGAATGTGTTGGAAGGAAACACAAATTTTGTCGTTTAAAAAAAAAAAAATTTGAAGTTAACAGATTAGTAGCCAGAAAGAGATGCCAACAACTAGCCAGCAAGGACAGGCATGAAGCCAATGTACATCTGCTGTGTGGATAGATTGTTGAGGGCATTCAACATGTACAAGCAGTGTACAGGTGACGTTGGACTGGCCTGCATGTCCCACAGACGCATGCCATCCAGATTTGGAGAATTAGCAGACTAGTTGACCTCCGGGAAATGTGACCCCCAAGGGCACGGACTGTCGGCATTTCCATCACTTGAATGTCTGACAAGACCAGAGCAGATACAATCAATACAAATCCCAACCAACATCCTTCTTGTGGCACACATTCTCTTCAGCATGAGATGAGGGGGTGTCCACTAGTACAGCCCACACACACTTAAACATCAATTTATTCCCCTATTTCTTTTAGGAGACGGACCCAAGTTGAAAAATTGTTCAACTACAAATTGAATATTTATGATTTGTTTTCTGACAAGTACAAACAACCGAATTGCTATTTTAACACCCTTGACACAATACTGGGAGCGAGAAGATTGAAAGTAACTTGATATGGCCCACACTCACATTTATAAAATATACATCTGAGCAAATCCAGGGGTGCTGTTCGGCAAATCCATTATGGTTGAAAGTAAACTGCACTGAGGGGGCGGAGGAATGCTTAATGGGGTTTAGCGAACAGGCTGTAAAAGCTTGCCTTCCATCATTTGCAGGAGGCAATTTTTAAAATAAGGGGTTAGATTGAGTTGGCTAGTATGGCATTAAAACAAGATGTGTTTTTGAAGGGACATGTTTTTGTTTTTCAACTTCCGAGGATTTTCTTTGCTTGTTTGAATTGAGACCTTTCTAGTTAGTGCTGTGTTTTTTTCCCTGTCACCGGGATGGCCTGGAATTGACGAGAAAATTTCAGGGTCTGGGAAAACACCCACGTATCACAGCCAGAAGGACTGCAATGTGTGTGCAAAGAATGAGGGGGTTGATAAGCCATACAAGTTTGTTGGCATATCTAGAAGGACGAATGGTCAGGTGAAATGGAGACAATTATCAGTACGTCTATACGGAAAGATCAAGGGACTCAACATCCAGTCCAAGGCATGTTTCCATTATATACCTGTGGTACGAACAATGCTTTGCTATCATGAAGATGCAGTTCAAGGATCTTGGAGAGAATACTTATTTGTCTAACCCCTGGACACTGTTTCAGGCTAGAGTTTTGCTTATGGTTCCCGTGACTGTTCTTCTTCATTTTGCAACAAATAACTGTATCCCCAAACTGCCCCCCCAAACTCTTTTTTTTTTTTACCGGGTTAACTTTATACGAGCAAGGCACAGTCCAAACAAGCCTTAACAAGGTTCATACAACTGGCATGAGACACATTTTTTGTGTTTGTCACAGGTACTTTAAAAGTATTTAAAACGAAAACTCCACATCTCCAGTCATCAGTATTGCTACAACTCTACTACACAAGTTCAGCCACTTTCTTTTTCTACTTCACACAAAATGAGCCGTCTGAAGAAAGGAAACTCCAAGTTCCAAATTCTTGAAATTGAAACCAATTACTCAGGGCACTGCTTGTGAAAACATAATCACACCTTAGTAAGGGAGGAAAACTGACAAAGAGATATTAGATATCCTTTCCAAGAAGCACATAATAACACAAGAAGGAAATGTACGTCGGTAAAATGTTGGGGGTATGGGTTGGGATGTTTAATTTCCTTGATGACAACTCTAGGATGGGAAAAGGTGTTTGAGTGAAGCAGTCATTAGGCGTGGTTGACATCTCTGCTGAGCATCCCATCACTCATGAAACGGGCTTGGCCATTTGAAAGTGGGCACCTTTTATTGATTCAATGCAAGGATGTCACAGCCCATTAAATGGGACGCATATTAAAAATTCAGGACAGAGTTGTTCTTCGTCCTTTCTCTTTTGTATTTTTTTTTGTGACTGATGGTAACAAATTCTGTGGACAGAGATGGATAGTAAGGGGCTCAAACTTAATGTTGACACCAATTTGAAGGCCAGTTCATACGGGTGAAAGCAAAAATGAATGCGAACTTGTGATGTCAGATCAAATTTTCACGCTGCGAATTAAAAAACGTTGAACACATTTCAACTCTAGCAAATTTCGCTGCAAATGTTTCGTGATGTCAAATTTGCTTTGCTTTCGCATGAAGAATGAACCGGCCTTAAGACTGAAAATTTTACTTTAAAACTTTGACAAGAATTGAGCTGCAACTGCTGATCGATCTATGAACTGGTCAAAATCCTAGGTTGCGGTTTTTCATGCTGCTATTTGGAGATCAGTTCAGTTTTCTTATTGTTTCTCTGCTGATTACTGGCAACGGTGAATCCTTCAAATTTGTGTAAATCACACTTTAACGTAGAAAATATACTTTAACTCTTACATCTGTCAATTCCTGGCTATTTTGGTTGATATAGCTGAGCCCGTGTTCACATCCAATGAAGTTGTTGGTTGACAAATTATTGGTAACTCTAGAAAAATTGCCCACTTTGAACATAGCCTTTCAGCTAACAACTCTACTGGTGTCTGGGTTCTAGAACTGGTGCCTATGATGAGGCAACCTCCTAAAAAGGGACGGTTAGCCCTGCCTTCAGGGGAACACACAAAGGCGATCGTGTAACCACAGTCTAATGGATTTGCGAAGAACCCCACAAAGTCAACAGTCCCCTGACTTGAGGCTTGTCTATGTGGGTGGCAACACGATTCCTGACCTGACATTTGTGACCAACTCAAATTGAATCGGAGGTCTGTGCATGTCAAAATGGGTATTTACTGAAGGATGGGATGATGGCGTGGGCAAGTCACCTCAGGCTAGTAAGTAGACCAGTCGCTAGAGTGAATGACAGAGGCTCCCTCCAAGACATTGTGTAGATGACTACGATTGTGACCTGATACATTCTGGAAAATACAAGATGTCCCGACGTATGTACACTGAGCGTCAGTGGGAATTGTACAAGCACTTATCCCCTTCCTGCTTTTATTCTTCAGGTTGAAAATCTTTAGACTGATTTCAAGCTGAATTTGTCCTTTCAAGTCTTGAGACAAATCTGAGGGGCTGTTTTGTAGTGCAGGAAACATCAAATGCAACCGCGTTTAATCTACAATACTAAATAGTCAAGTTTGCATAATGGGCCTCAAGCTAAACCAAGAGAGGGCGCTATTTTCTCAGCAACGGAAGCTCCTTTAGTCAGAACTGAACTTTGTTGGTTCACGAATGACTAGGAAATGCATGTGTCACGGTTTCATCGCTATCAACAAATTGAACACTTTTGACCAACGTGGCTCTTTTCAGCCGATAGGTGAGTGTTTCTGCTCCAGGCGGATTATGCCTAGATCTGAAAAAAACTATAGGAAAACCTCTCTGTAACAACAGAAAAGGGGTGGGACACACCCACTTGGCTTCTCCAGGACAAACAGACATACTGATGCAGACAGATAAAGACATCATTGATGATGCGTCTAAGTAAGAGTGTCTGCTCTTTTGAAACCTTTCCTGGTAATAATGCTTCTAAGCCAGCCAAGTCTGAAGAGAGAAAAAAAAAACGGCTCAGCAACGGAGGATGGAGTGGAGGTGTGGTGATGGAGGCGGGAATGGTTGCAGGGAACAATGTTGGTCCCCCGACAGCAGGATGTACTGTTCATTCCGGTGATGTCCCTCTGAACATTGCAAGGGGCGGATGGAGAAACCACTTAGGCATTCTCCAGCTCAGCGGAAACAAAGATCGCATTTTTCTTCTTCTTCTCCTACTTTTTCCTCCGTAGGGTAAGAAGGAAACTGGGGCCTGCCATGGTTCATTTGGACAGGGACAGCACTGAATGCTTACCGTTATTAACATTTTGAAACAATGCCAACAAGAGTAAATCTGATTTCAGCGTCAGTAGCTCAGTATTATTCTACATCTGTATGACTTGTACTGTGGTCTGACTATTCCTGGACAGGTTGCAGTTTTCAGGAAGTCGCATTTGCTGATTTATATTTCTCCACAGAAGATGGAGCCAGGTTGACGACGTGATGTCCACACTAATAAGAGAAAATGCCCTGTGGCATCCGTAAATGAGCGTATCGGAGGAAGCTCTCCATTCATTATCTCGTGTTTAATGGCTAGTGATCAAAGTTTGTCTCCCATTCTGTCCCCGGTCATGTCATACTGGCTTGCATACACAAACAAACATCTCAGAAGCTATGATTTCTGACAGCGGGTATGTGGGGACAGATCTGAATTGAATTAAAACCGGAGACTTCAACTTCTGTCTTTTCTGTGGTGGACTAGTGTGTACCAACTCATATCTTTCCATAGTTTTGTTCGCTAGCATCCAGCACAGATTGGCCAGTTCCTGTCTGCGATGATCAAGAGAAATAAGTATCATTTAGCCGTCAGTTTGCCAGGACATGTGGTCAATTAGGGTCGCCTACACAAGAACAGAAGAATGAAACAGGATTAGAACCCACCTCCAGTACAACACACAGGTGTTCTACCAACTGTGCTACCCAGACTAATGTTATCAGCCTACCAAGAGTACTTTGTCAGCTTCACACTGTACATTTCAAATGGTGTGACTGACATCCTAGAAACTGGTTCCTGGTGTGACCCTTGTCTGGTACCCTGCCTACCTGTATCTTCAGCTTGGCTATCTCTGCCTCGGCTACAGCATTCTTGTACTGGGCTTCCTTGAGTTTGACCCTCATGTCTGCCAGGGCCTGGTCTGACGGCTGGTCAGAGGATGGCGACGTTGGCTTACTGGCCGAGCCACTGCTCATGCTCTCGTCCAGCTCAAATGTGTCGATGACTAATCGGCTGTCCTCATCGCCTTCTGAGGACTCATTCAGAGCATCCAACTTCATGTTGTCATCGTCTGGTGAGGTCTGGGGTAGAGTGAAGAAATGAAGTAGGACAGAGGAGTAAAGGGGGGCCACTTACAACTGAACCTGTTATAGGTTGATTTCAGACAGGAATTCTTGAGAAATAATGCCAGCCTAAGAAAGTAAAACAGAACAAATAAACAAACAGAACAGAAAAGAAACAACCCCTAGAAAACAAAAACATGATACAAAAATTTACTGGGAAGGATAAACAAGAATGGGAATAAAAGGAAAATGGAAGTAAAAGAGAACTAAAGATCAAATTTCCACACACCCCTCAAAACCCTCCTGACCACCAAAAAAAAAAAACCTAAGTAAACATAAGGCTTGAAAATCTGCACATTTTTTTCCAAAAAGAAATTATTAAACCACAATACAATATAACATCCATGCACTAGCCAAAATATTGGAATAACCACAGAACCGAGATAAAGTAAAGTCAGCTAGAGTCAACTTGTTCATACATTCTATCTATGCGAGTCTTGCTCTCACCATTTGCGTTTTGATTCAATCTGTCTCTTTTGAGTCACTTTGAAAATACATGCACATCCCCCTCTAGATCAATGGTGGTGGTAATGGTCAGAAAAATATGTACATGAATTAAGGGTTACTGAACCCCTTTGTGCCGGGACGTGGATAGAG